TCTCATGGCTGCTGCGGTTATAGCAGCCGGAGGATCAGGTGTCGTACGTATGAATCTTTACAAGTAGACTTACTTTGAGTATATCAGATAAAGCTAATAGCGTGTCTAAATCGAAGACTCTTCCACTGATGAACGTTGTGTTTGGTAAGGCTCTTTACAAAAGTACGACTAAAAGCTTGTTGTAGATGCTTATTAGTCTATAATAGGTGCACTCGTTGGCGACTTCAATGGCTACTTTCTCCCTGTTCCTACGAAAACGGAGGCTGAATTTAGGGCCTCTCTTAATAGGAATGCGTAAGTTTACATCGTGATGCTATGGGCTAGCCAGCCGCTGATTCCATATACAAGATTATACATCTTCATTCTATTTATTGCGAGATTCCTTCTCACATACATTAACAAGGTATATTAATACTTATACTTATCACTTAATGTTTAGAATATCTACTCACTCACAGCAATAGTTTGCCTACCGGCTGATTGGCATTCGGATGTCTGCGGCTATCAGACTCGATTATCTTCGCTGTCTGTTCAGCCAAACGATCCACGTCCTGGACTCAATGCCCCCTGGTGCTGCAGCAGGGACGATCACGACGACGGCGAACACGCTTCAGTTAGGCATTTCGGAGAAACTTGGCGTTTTCGTCGAATTCGTCGTCATGATCATTGCCGCTACTATCATCGCATTTGTATATAACTGGGCCCTTGCTCTGGTTACATGCTCTGTCCTTCTCTTTATTCTCGTCGTCGTGGGCATTATCGTCCCATTCTACGTCAAGGGAACGACCAAAGTCGCCAGGGCGGAGACCAAATCGACATCTGTGGCGAACGAGGCTTTCTCGGCTATCCGTATGGTGGTTGCGTGCGGTGCCGAATCCCAAGTTGCTAAACGTTTCGCTGTCTGGGCTCAGCAAGGACAGAAGCATGGCCAAAGGATTTCGCCTCTTATTGGCATGCAGCTGTGTTTGGTTTTCTTCGCGTTTAACGCGGCATTCGGGCTTGCGTTCTGGTATGGATCTAGATCGTTTGTCGAGGGCCGACTCGATGATGTAGGTACTATCGTTGTGGTACTTATGTCGGTCATGATGATGATTATTTCCATCGAACGAATTTCGACGCCACTCATCGCAATGGGTAAGGCTACGGTAGCTGCTTGCGAATTCTTTACCGTCATAGATGCCCCCCGACCGAGCACCGGCGAACTTAAGGAACCCGACGTTTCAGCGAGCGGCGACATTGTATTCAAGGACGTGGATTTCGCGTACCCGAGTCGGCCGCATGTCAAAGTCTTAGACCAACTTAACCTTCGAATCGAGGCGGGCAAACTTACGGCTATTGTTGGACCTTCTGGGTCTGGTAAAAGTACTATAGTCGGCCTGATCGAACGATGGTATACTCTACATGACCAATATATCATCGCGAAGGCTATCGAAAAGGACCCGGCAAAGGAAGCAGCGAAGAAAGGCAAAGGAAAGAAAAGCCAAGATGAATCCGACGACGAAACCCCCGCTGCCCAGGTTGAAGAGACCGGTCCGGCCGTAGAATTAAAGGGGTCAATAGCTACCTGTGGCCACGAGCTCGAGGAGATCAACCTAAAGTGGTGGCGGTCTCAGATCGGGCTTGTGCAACAAGAGCCATTCTTGTTCAACGACACCATCTATAAGAATGTTGCGTACGGTTTGATAGGTTCAGAATTTCAAGACGAGCCCGAAGAGCGGAAACGAGAGCTGGTAAAAGAGGCTTGTAAGGAGGCCTTCGCTGACGAGTTTATCGACCGGCTTCCAGACGGATACGAGACTCTCGTCGGCGAGAGCGGTACGAAGCTATCGGGTGGTCAGCGTCAAAGAATATGCATCGCTCGAGCCGTCATCAAAAGGCCTAAGATCCTTATTCTCGACGAAGCCACATCCGCGATCGACGTCCGAGGCGAACGAATCGTGCAGGCAGCGCTCGACAAGGTATCGCAAGGCCGAACTACCATCACCATCGCCCACCGACTCTCGACGATCAAGAAGGCCGACACGATTGTCGTTTTGCAAAAAGGAAAGGTTGCCGAGCAGGGGACGCACGATTCCCTCCTGGAGAATGATAAGGGTGTTTACTATGGTCTCGTCAACGCTCAACAGCTTTCGTTAGGAGAACACACTCACGCCGAGGACTCTGAAGGCCCGGAGGAGGAAGAGGACCTGGGAGCGATTCTAAGCCGCGAAAAGAGCGCCGCGGTTTCCGATGCTGCGGATGCGCCCAAGACAGCTCAGTGGAAGAGAAGAGGTCTATTCGGAAGCTTTGGACGATTGCTATACGAGCAGCGAACTCGTTTCCCCTTCTATGCGGTTATCGTCGTGGCCTCCATGTGCACAGCGAGTAAGTAGGAACAATCAAAGCTCGTGAGAAAGGCTTGAGCTAACAAGTAATACCTATTAGCATCGACTCCCCTGCAAGCCTATCTCTTTGGGAAAATCGTCGTCGTCTTTGCTTACATAGATGATATACCTAAATTTACGGCTGAGGCCAACTTCTGGTCCTTGATGTGGGTGGTTCTCGGTATAGGTACGGGCGTAGCATACTTCGTCCTGGCATTTACGTCGAATCATCTTGCTCACGTAGGTATTCCCGCTGTAGTAGATTTGTCTACATACAATATACATACTAAACTTACAAACGTAGTATATCTCCGCGACATACCGACAACAGTATTTCGAGAGTATCTTGTATCAAAAGACATCCTTCTTCGATGAAGAACAGAACTCGACGGGTTCGCTTACGGCTCGAGTCGGGAGTGACCCGAAGCAACTGGAGGAACTTCTTGGTTTAAATATGGCCATGGTCTATAATTCGTGAGTATCCCTCGACTTGGACTTGGGCATCACGGTTACGTTCTTACTAATACGACCTATATAGATTCTTTACTCTCATCGGTTGTCTAGCTATAGCCTTTGCCTTCGGCTGGAAGCTCGCCATTGTCGCTACGTGTGTCACGATGCCTATAGGACTTGCAGCGGGATATCTTCGCCTTAAGTACGAGCTCGAATTCGAGAGCCTGTATGCAGAGGTCTTTGCCGAGTCATCTAAGTTTGCTGCCGAGGCCATCTCTGCCTTTCGAACCGTTTCTTCCCTTACCCTTGAGGACACCATCGGCGATCGTTACGAGAAGTTGCTTAGCCATCACGTCGTCGAGGCTTACAAGAAGGCGAGGCTAAGGACGTTCGTATTTGCCTTCTCGGAGAGTGTCGGTTTAGGTTGCCAGGCTCTCATCTTCTGGTATGGCGGCACTCTTCTGGCCTCGCGAGAGTATAATTCTTTGGACTTCTTGGTTTGTTATATGGCGGGTAAGTGAGAGTCGATCCTTATTTGGGTGAACTGGGAGCCTACACATGAGGTGATGCCTAGCATATACCAGAAAACCCCCGTGTTACTTATAAAACCCGATTTACTAACTACAATCCTTTAACCAGTCATTCAAGGAGCCGAGTCAGCAGGCCAGGGCTTCGGCTTCGGTCCCAACGCCGCCCAAGCCTCAGCAGCCGCCAACCGCATCCTAAGCATCCGCGAGACTCGCAACAAGGACCTAGGCGATAGAAATACTAGCATTCCCGACACACAGGGTGGCATCAAGATCGAGCTCAAGGACGTACACTTCAAATACCCCTCGCGCAACGTCTCCATATTCAAGGGCCTCAACATCACGATCGAAAAGGGTCAGTTCGCAGCCCTAGTCGGCGCCTCCGGCTGCGGCAAGACGAGTATAATCTCTCTTCTCGAGCGCTTCTACGATGTTCAGCGCGGGCAGATCCTGGCGAACGGCACAGACATAGCACAAATCAACGTATACGACTACCGAAGGCACTTATCGCTAGTGGCCCAGGAGCCGACACTGTTCCAGGGCACGCTGCGCGACAATATCCTACTAGGCGCCGACGTAGCGGACGTCAGCGATGAGGACCTACACGCGGCGTGCCGCGACGCGAGTATCCACGAGTTCATCATGTCGCTGCCCGAGGGCTACAACACCGAGGTCGGCAGTCGCGGTGTCTCGCTCTCCGGCGGCCAGAAGCAGCGTGTTGCGATTGCCCGCGCTCTGGTCCGGAAGCCCGAGGTACTACTTCTCGACGAAGCCACCAGCAGTCTCGACTCCGAGAGCGAGAAGCTTGTGCAGGGCGCGTTCGAGAGAGCCGCTGCGGGCCGCACCATGGTGGTTGTTGCGCACCGGCTGGCTACGGTGCAGAATGCCGATGTTATTTTCGTTCTGGGCGAGGGCAAGGTTTTGGAGAAGGGGTCGCATAATGAGTTGCTGAAGAAGAGGGGTGTGTACTGGAATATGGTAAGTCGTGCTTTAACAAACCCCCCGCCTCTCCCCCTTTTTCTACGGGGATAGTTGAACAATTGCTAATATTGCTTCGTATTTAGTGCCAGAGCCAGGCCCTCGATAGGTAGGGGAAGACGTCAAGTATAATGAGGATGAGTATACGTAATAGATAATGTATATGTGGAAAATATAGGGACTCAAATATGGCTGCTGGGGACGACGGCATGTCTAGGTACCTACCTACCTATGCAGCATGATCTCGCAGCGTGGTTTGGGTCGGTTGGCATACGCGATTTTTAGAAATGCCCATTCAGCTCTGGTCTTTTGTATAATACGAAGTCAACTCAGTGTAAATAGAGCATATGATATAGACTTGGAATGTTCATCATGATGTTCGAGTTCGTTAAGACTGCCTAGACTATTCGTTAGCTTGGTTTCTTTTCTATAACAGACTGTTTCTTTAATAGGTACCTGGCATACAGGATTAAACAGCTATGCCATCTATCTATGATATGCCACTTAATTCGGTGTGTACAGTCTTTTGTCCTCAAGATAGCTTTCGTAAGATTCCAGCTATTTACAAGCAATTCAATCAACATGTGGCGATATTAACAGCAATACATCGAGGCTCTATGCGAACTTCAAGCCACCTATATGTTTCATTCGGTCCGGTGATGGAGTTGATAATAGCTCCTTAGTTTTTGGATTGGCTAGGGTTGGCAGCTTTTGCTGACTGAGCGGCGGCTTCTTTGCGACCGGCATATATTGCATTCATTAACATGGCCATATGGTCACAGTCGTCTCGTAGAGAGTCGATACGGTTTCTGATCTTCTCTTCGCAGGCTATTCGTTTCTCGAGCGCTGCTATTAACCGCTGAATTTGCTGCTGCTGATGGTTGGTCCTAGGGGTATGTGTTAGTGTTTACCTTATATATTCTTGCGCGGTAAGACGAGATATAAATAATTAGTAATCTTACATTTCCTGTGCTTCGTCACGGTAGTGTTTCTTAATCTTATTCTTTATGCCAGTTAACTTTTCTGTATAATCCTTGTCGATGCCCTTCTGGATCTCGGCCCGCTTCGATTTCCATCTGTCCTATATAGATTGGGAAAGACGTAAGCATCGAGTATTTGTGGGTAGACTATATTCAATAACGCTCAATCATGATAAGGTACACCAATGAATGGTAGATGGGCATACGATGCTTTCCATAGCCTGTGGTATACTTGTGCTTGGCTTATAGTCGATGCTAAAATTCAATTCAGCATCAGAGCCTGAATCGACTTCAGTTGGAGTAGGCTCTTTGCGACGAGGAGCCATTGTTAGATAAAGTTTCTAATGTAACCAGCTTATTGTATGTATCGGAGTGAATGCACAGAACTGGCTATTGGCTATCAACGGGGATTTTGGGAGCTGGCGAGTGTAATCTTCGTTGGTTGGGTTCACGTTCTTGTTCAATTTGGAGTAAATCCTAGATAATTTATTTTTATTAAATCTTTTGATTAAATTTTAATCGTCTACTAAGATTTTAAAGTTTCGAATTTTGAGAAAGAGTACCTGTCATTACGGACCCGTACACACGTATACATCGTACTTGCCCTCCTCCCTCCTGATGGCTATCAAGTTCTAATACCCCTTTTATTACATAATCATACAACTGCCGCTAAAATATGTATTGTGCTTTTTATTCCGAGGAATTGCCGCTTATCAAGCCTATCAGCCAAAAAATAATTGAAAACCAGACCCCACTGAAATTCGGCCTTCTCAATTCCCCATACGCTGTTTGACTTGCGATTGACTTGCAATCGCGACGAGGTCAATTCAAGTCACGATGGGTCTCGCAGGTCCTAGGATGTACGAAAGGCTTCATATATATTCTACTTTTAATATGTGCTATATGCTAATCTGTATGCTTCTGTAGCCGGCGAAAGCTCCAGCACGATCCGAATAATACGAAATGGAGCCGTGACGAGACCACCTTCGGTCAGAAGATTCTGCGAGCTCAAGGTTGGGAGCCGGGGAAGTTTCTAGGAGCGCAGAATGCCTCACACTCTCATTTACACACGGCTGCGAGCGCCGCCCCTATAAATGTCCTCCTAAAAGACGACACCATGGGTTTAGGTGCGAAGCCCCGGCACAAACAAAACACCGAATGCACTGGCCTTGATGTCTTCAAAGATCTCCTCGGCAGACTGAACGGGAAGTCCGAAGAGGTAATTGAAAAAGAGAGGAAAGTGAAGTCAGAAGTTAAGACTTGCTTGTACGTAGAGAGGAAATACGGCACCATGAGATTCGTCAGTGGAGGCCTCTTGGTTGGAGACCAGATGGCAGGATTGACCAGCACGACTACCAAAACCGAAACTCCTGCAGAGGATATAAAGGAAGAGGGTATCAAGGAAGAGGATATCAAGGAGGAATCAGTCACCTCGTTGGAGGATGTCCCCGATCGCCCCGTGAAGAAACAGAAGAAGGAAAAGAAATCCAAGAAAAGGAAAGCAGAAGACGTTGATTCTGCAGATGAGCCCGACGCCACCACTGAAAAAAAGCGAAAGAAGCGGTCAAAGGATAACACCTCACAGGATGATTCGGCCAGTACTGTAGAGGCTGAAGGCTCTAGTAAAAAGAAGAAATCGAAGAAGTCCAAACAGAAAGATACCGAAGGATCAGAGCCACACGAGTCGGAGAAAAAGAAGAGCAAGAAATCGAAGCAGGATGCTGAGCGCGAGGTTGAGAGCGACGACACGCCTATTCTGTCAGAAGAAACCCGGGTAGAAAAGTCTAAATCTAAGAAAGATAAGAAAGACAAGAAGGAAAGGCATAGGAAGAAGGATAAGAAGCAAAAACAATCAAACACGTCGAATTCATTAACGGATGCATCTATTTCGGCGGACACTTCAACTCCTGCGTCCGGCACTACCCCCCAAGAGAGTGGTGCGTCGACGCCCATTGGGACGGGCACTTCAACTCCTCAACCCTTTTCTGCGCGACATTTGGCTCGATCCCGCCACATCGCATCGAAACGGATGGCCATAGCCGATTTACAAGCAATGAATCAAGTAAGTATTTGACCAGGAAGTTGTTTGTTTTGCCAAATGCTAATTATTGGTGTAGATTTTCATGGTGAAACCGGTTTGATATATAATATTAGCGACTTGATTAATCGGGGTGTTTGCATAAGAGCGCTTAGGCTTTGATACCCGTAGATATATGATCCAATATAAGTCTCGATCCAAAATCGAGAAGAGAAATGAAGCTTAAAATGGGCATTAATAGTAAAGAGACCAGCTGCGCAACCAAGTCTCCTGTGAGCTGCCGTAGACAAAGATTACCTAGTGTTTATACGTACGAAAATAGTTGCATGCTTTTCTAGTAGTTAACTAGTAGTTGGTAAACAAACATCGTGTTAATATCGTGTTACATGGTGGACATAATAGGGAATATCTTATCTCTACATGGCTAGGCCTAGGCTTGGGCTTGGGCTTGCATATCCGGGGTCTTATGGCAGGGCTGAGTTAGCCCCAATTCACCTCACCGCATCGCGCGATGCTCACTTCTTTTTCAGGTATAATGTGTTTTCAAAATACCCTTGTCATCACTTTACTTGAAAATACTATGCTATTACGTCAATGAGGCCCTGTTTATTCTTCCTTTTCAATCAATAAATATACGTGAGAGGTTGTTTATTTTCATCTCACCGTCGTATAAAAGGATGACGGATGAGAGGCCAAACCCATTGCGTCGGGCTGGCTCGTTTCCGCTCCAAGATCAACGGCAACATCGAAGCGACTCTTTACAGCAGTTCGCTCATAATGTACGGCATGTTCCGCCTCAGGGTCGGGATCGCGTCCACTTCGTAGCTGAACCTGAGGAGCTTCGTCCAGTAGGTATCGCTTATGAGGGGCTTTGAGCCTTAGTTAACACATCTATAGTATGAGCTTGTCACCGATGATCGATATGGACATACGCCAATCCTCATGCCATTTTCTCGTACAGGGAGAGATTATGCCAATCCACAATATGCATATGCTCAGCCAATGCCAGTGAATTCGGCGCCTTATGCTACGCCGTGGCTAGATCGAGATCGTCGTAGCCGTCGCTCTACTGCGGACTCATACCTCTCAGATCGTAACCAGCCTTACATACCAGCGAGGAATGAACGCGGAAGAGTCAGGTTTGCTGAACCAGAGAGTTTGCCGCACCGCTTATATCCTCACTCTTCATCGCCATCGCCGCCCGCGCCACCTTCCAGGTACTCAAGCGTCTATACAGAGGATGACCCCAACAATTCGGATTCGGAATCTTCTATTCGTGACCGATCTCGTCCAAGGTCAAGGTATAGCCGACACCAGAGCTCGTACGTGGGCGACTCAGATTCGGACGAAGCAGAAGGCTTCGATGAGCTTATGGGCGGTAAGGTATTTCAATTTATCCCTTCGCGAACTTCTAAGACACTTTCAAAAAGCGGCCATAGTATCGAAAGCGATTTTTCGTTTGAGAAGCCCGAGGATGGGGCCTCTTGCGCAAGGGATGATCCAAATGTTCCTAGGGCCGGCGACATTCTCCACGTATATCAATCTCAATACACTGGGGACGCGGTCTCTGACGGAACACATACTGCAAAATTGACCGTTATACATGACCCTAAAAAGCAACGACAGCCTCTTTTTAGATGGGTGTAAGTTGTTCGGGATTATAGATATTATAGATTAACAGTATACTAACGTACCCCAAGACATCTAGAGCAACGTATGATGAATCTCGATGAACTCTCTGTACGTTAACCAAGCCGCATCCATCCTGCTATCCGCTAATCCAACGATTAGACCGAGATTGCACGGATCCCCGGCGTTACCGACTCGGAACGCAACGGGTTCGCGAAGCTGCTTGCCGAAGTAAAGAAAACCTCTGTCAAGGTTAGGCCTACGGCAAAGGGGAATAATGTGCGACATATGGACCCGAAGCCTATCCGTGTGACCATTCCTCCCGATGGGCGTACAAAAGGCCAGACCTCGAGGTTTGTGACTTGGCTATGCGTGCCGTACTTTTCGCTCGAGAAGTATTCGGGACTTCTGTCGGCTAGCACTGCTTCTTCTTTTCCAATCGAAACCTTACTTCAATCCGAATATGCTCGCACTACGCAAGAGCGTGACATGCAACAGGCTGTCTGCAAGAATGGCGAGGTTCCCGATGGCCATTGCTTCCATATCGCACAGCTGTGGTGTATCGTATTGGACAACAGTAAGTCCGCACCATTGGAAAACCATCTGACCTAGTAATATAAGCTAATTACCGAAAAGCCCTGCTTATCACATGCGGTCGAATGCCAAGTTCAACTTTAAGGGGTGACATTATACGCATAGCTAACGAGCCTTTCAAGGAGTCTATAGGCAAAGGGAAGAAAGTATACGTATCTTACTACGACACTGTCCTTTGGGAGCTTCCGTTGGAGTCTTGCTCAACTTGGTTTGTAAGTTTATTAATCAGTTAATAAAATTGAAGTCAATCACTAAAATATTTAGGACTTCTCGATACACTTCCGCGAGTTCTGGCCACAAGCGATAAGGATCTATCATCGTGGCCGTGTCCTGACAGAAACTGATTGGCCCCGGATTGTCAACATAGTGAAGAATGTAAATACTAGAGTCGTTCTTGACCTTCGTTTAGGGTATGTTCACCCCACATTCATTATAGATACCTAGGTAGGTATAGAAAAGGATCGGCTGACATGAAGGAAGGGCACATCCGCCTCCTCCGGCTATTGGTGTTTTACAACCAATTAGAGAAGAAGTAGAAGGCGCCGAACGCAAAGAATTGGCAACAGAGAATAACGGTAATAAGAAGACAAAAGATGAGAAATATCAGATTGCCGACGACAAATTTCACGTATTCTCGTGGCTGGAGATGGCTGAAAGTGAAGACGATAGCGGAGAGCTAGACGTCGAAGCACTGATTACAAACCTTCAAGAAGCGGAAGATTACCTACTTAAGTCGACGAGTATGAGGGATCGAAACGCATATCACAACTGCAATTTGTCTTCACGGAGTTCTGTCCATGCGTATCTAAGAGGCAAGGGGCTGAGGATAGAAAAAAAGGACGAAGAATCTGTGGAAAAGCGAGGGTACGAAAACAAAATCGATTTCTACAACGCGGCCGACATTGTCTTTTCTTTCTTTCTCCCACAATCACTAAGCGAAGATACACCGACAATCGGGAAATTCTGGGGTGCGGTTGAGAGCTTGGTCGAGGTACGGTTTCCAGTTGGCCTTAAGCCATAGAGAAGTGATCTAACCGGTCGGCGGTGACTAGATACCAGACGCAAGAGTCAACGAGGACGATCGAGTTCAACGAGACAGGGTATCACGACGGAGTGCTAACACACACAATAATCTACACCCGCTTAGATCCACTCTCAGAGGACTAACGAGAGTGATACAATCATTTCAGGATATCCTATCCCACACGCCAGCCGCTCTCCGAACAAAGGTAGAGGTGCCCGACAGTCTCGTCCGTGCTTGGTTGCATTTAGTTATCGCCCTTATTCAGGCGTCGCAGAACGATGAAGCTTGGAACGAAAACATAAATGTCGCCGAGGCTTTGATACGAAGAGGAATGGACGACATCAGTAAGTGGACTATTAAAGCTGCTTTGCTTTTTTCATCTACGTATGGCTCTGGAAGGCCGTTTCTATATTCTATACCTATAAAAGCCGTGCTAAGCCATCGTTGTCGAAGTGGACGGATTACCTACGGAGGACCTGCTCTCCAGCTCCGTCATCCAACCGATGGAACTCGTCACATTAATTAGCTTAAAGCTACTCCAAGACTCTACGGGGACGTATTCAAGCATCAACGACACATATTCTAATTATCTGAAAGGGCTGGTAAGTCTCATTAATTAATCCTCTAGATTTACGTGTTTGATACGAATCAAATTTAATAGGAGAATGAAATCACCGCCAACAGCTCCGATCGTTCGCATCAGTTCCGCATCACCCTTTTCAAGCAAGAGGTCGCCGTGATTCGTCGAGTGATTTCGTCACAGTTGAACGTTGTAGACGGCATGACTGCGCCCCAAAGACCGTATTGGGGCGACCAAACCCGTAGGGAGAGGGAGATGCTAGATAAGGAGCGTGAGAAATCAAAAGCCGAGGCTGCGAGGATGCGATCGCGATCCTATCCAAAGCAAGGTGCAGCAGCATACGTGGACAAGCTCGACACGTACGAAAACTATGGCTATATTAACAACCATAGGAGCGTATCAGTCCTTCCCAGCGCTTACTACTTCACGCCAGCCGGTCACCCTGACGACTTCTCCAAACTGGCATCCACCGATCCTGGCGGGTTCAGGGAGCTCCTCGGTCGCGAGTGTAGGTCCTGGTTGGAGCGCAGGGACAGCGAATTCTTGGAGCTCGACGTCGAGGCGTCACGGCTCGAGATCATGGTAACGCTATGATGTACGGCCCAATTACAATAGAGCGAATCGCTAACATTCCCCCCCGCAGAACGCCAACAAGATCGAAGTGACTAAGGATCGACAGGAAGCAGCGGTCTACGCCTTCACCATGGTCACCATTATCTTTTTGCCACTTAGTACCATCAGCTCTATCTTCGGTATGAACTCGAGCGACGTGCGCGACATGGACCTCGGGCAGTGGGCGTATTGGGCGACAGCCTTACCTACTACCATCGCGGTAATCATCATAGGTCTGTGGTGGATGGGCGAATTACATAACTTGATCGACTGGGTGAGAGGGCTCCCTTCTCGATCGAACAGGAGCTATGCACGAGTGTCGCGCCCAGCTGCTGCAAACGGCGTCATATATTACCCCCAGGGAGACTATCCTGGGAGGTCTGACCCGCAACAGGCGATGAGACCATATAGCCGGGCGACTCCGGGCCCGCCGGTGCCGCGGACGTCATGGCGGTACTAGAGGTAGTACCCAGTATTTGTAGCAGTGTAGTAACATCTTGGATAGCTTGGATAGCTTGGATCCGTTTTCTCCAGTTTGGGAAATTCTCCTATCTAGATCGGATTCGGATATCAAAAATCGTGCAGCCACGTCGACGGTCGCGGAAATCCGCCTCACTTATTCCTGGGGTCAGGTGGCGCTGGTTGGTGGGTGGTTTGCTTTTCGATAATGCCGTCGCAGATCCCTTACACCATGCAAGCCCTCACGCAAGCCTTCCAGCCATCAAGACCAGACGATATACGGTAAAACATGTGCATGCAGCTTATGCTTATGCTTATGCTTCTGCAAGCATCCTCCCCGTCGTGCATGCATCCATCATCCATCCCACGTCGGCGCTCAAAGGAGCAGCAGCAGCAACTTTAGGTCGAGAATATGATCTATGATCGCAAATCCGTCCTATTGTATCGTGCCACTTCGGCTCGTAACCTACCTATAGAAGACCGATTTGCCAATGGACCAGTAGCACAAGGAATCTGACAGTAACTAATTACTATATAGTGCGTATATGTGATTGGACAAAGAATTCCCCCCCCTCTCGGAAAAGAACCCCCAAGTCTTTAGCTCGAACTTTTGTTGGGGGGGTGCCGGCTGTGAGCTGTCCAACTCAGCCCGCAAAGGCGTCATGCAGGCTCCTGCCTCGTCGGGAGTCGAGAACTTACACTAGGGGTCCTTTACCATCCCCTTCCCCCCCTCCCCCCTCCATCCTCCCCGCTTCCCCCCATCTTCAGACTTCAGCCTCTCGAGCCCGTTCTGCGGGAAGCGGGAACGTTCCACCCGGTTCTAGTGACAATTAAAATTGGGCTATTCGCGGCTAATGCTGTCGAAAGACGTCGACGATGCGGTCAGAGTGCACCCGGAGCTGCGAAACTAAGCTGCGATCTGGGGAGGGGGAGGAGGGGGACGATACTACCATAGCTTTACGTCTGCTACGTCATTAGATCGATCTTGATCCTTTGCACCGGTAGTGTGATATCTTATAACCCTACTTTGTTTTGTGTGGCCGGTTCGCATGTAAACAAGCTGCATCGATATGCGAATAATAATAATAATAATCTTGTGGGTGTGGTGGTGTTGTTGTTGTTGTTGTTTAATCGTATATAACCTCCTTAACTTCGATGCCTCCTTATACTTATTACTCGCAATATATTAAAGAAAAAGAAAAAAAAGGTAGGAAGTTGCATTTTATTTCATGACAACTTTTCTTTTTGTATACCTACTTACTTGGAGATGTAGAAAAGTAATAATAATTTGATAGATTGTAGTTAATTTAGAACTTGTATAGCTACTCGACCTGTGTAACATGTTAGCATGTTAGCTATAGCATGTGTAACATGTGTAACAGTAGATCTCGGAGTTTCCCATAATAGTTCGTTTTGTGTCTAAAACCTGTGTTCTTGCGTTACTGCATGACATAATCTTATTAATAGTACGTCACGCGATTTGTTGTCATCTCAGCAGACAAAATGTTTCAAATTAGATTGATTGGTGTAAATCTATGTATACTTTGGACTTGACATAACTATAATCACGTTGTTGCTCTTTTGGGATAGCTTTGGAAATATGATCCACATTGATCTTTCACGAATGGGACTAGATGATTATTGCAGGTGGACTGAAACCAAATGGTTTGTAAAGTCTTTTAAGTATAGTCAACTAGACTATTAACTATTCTAACTTGATTCGATCAACAATTAACAATTGGTTACCTAGATAAGCTAACGCTAATGCTTTGCAAGTAGTTAAGAGAAAGTCAATATTACAAACCAGGAAACATGCCTCACTTAACTCTGCGTATGATACTTTTTCTGACGACATCCTTTCATCCCTCACTTCCTAGCCATTATCTAAGATCAATGAAATAAGGCGACCAATATATTGTCTTCGGCATAGCATCATACGTACCACTTGAATCGATCTTCGGGGATTATTTTCGGTGAGCCTTAAAGTACAATCTACATAACTATCGGAAAAACCTCAAGCGCTATCCACTTTCCCGGATTCACACTTACGTGTTGGCGTGAGGCGCGAGGCGCCATGCATGGCGAGGCTTGCCAATTCATATTATTGACATTTTGTCAGTTTCCTCAGGGCCCAGTGCGCTCAGGTACCTGTCTAATTTCTCGAATACAAACTTGTCCAACTAGATTCCAAGACGGCCTTTGCCGATCAACTAAGCACTACGAGGAGTATACCCAGGTCCCATGAACACTGTTCCCAAAACCTGGAATTGACACGCCGTTACTTTAGGTAGGTATTCACCTTACAATGGAACCTGTACGTAAACTCTAGACTCGTGATAATATTTCCGAAGCTATTTATGTCAATCCACTGCGGGTTGCTGCAATCGATCAAAGAATCGGGAAGACAAAAAGATCATCGGCTCCACGTCTCTAGACCTGAGCTGTTATTATTAGCTGTCACGGCAAGGAACATCAGATTTAATATGCATAGTAGACTTTTAAGAGCCACTTACCACATTATCTCCCGAGCAATTACGCGTAACGGTTCCGATTGTCAAAATGTGGACTGTGGACTGTTGATGAATCCCAAAAAGAAAAATTCTGCAGTATGCATGCAGGGCAAAGACGCAAATGTGTGTTGTGCGTACCTGGTCATGTCTCAAATAAGGTTATATCCAAAATATATTGTGTGTTGTTGATCTTTGCTCTCTACATGATAGGGGCCAAGTTAGCGTTAATCCATATTATATGTCCCATATTCCGTTACGGGTAAGTATTGAAGGGTCTCTACCGAGAAAGACGTCTGTAAGGTTGCAGGTCGCAGAAGAAGACAGCGAATAGGGTCGTATATGAGTTAAAGATAGATATGATATAAGTGGTAATTCCGAGAAAACAGGAGCAACGCAGTCGTGTATAGTAATATAAAAGCTGATAGGTCAGGTTTTGGTCGATTGATGAACCCCACCACCCTTTAACAAAATAGTGTACCTACCTACCTATGTAAGCTGCAAGCTAATGTCGACCAATGTAAGCCATTGTAGACGTGCCCATGATACCATGCAGCCCATGATGCACCCTTGCAAAAAGACCCCTTGTAAGACTGATGAGATTTTACATACATCCTGACCCCTACCTGACCGTGGTCTCACAAGTTCTGGGAATACAAGATTGTGGCAAAGGTTTCGGAGCCTAAGCAAGCCAAGGTCATGCTGTCGCCACGGGATGGAGCGTTGGGCTCGTGTTAGTGTGCTACTGACGCTACCGACGCTAACTGACACAACCGCGCGCCGAGAAAGTCTTTTTCGTCTTTTTTTGGTTCCTTTTTTTCTCGAATATTTAACTTTCAGCCATTTCCCGTTCCCGTCCCGGTTTCGTTTGTTTTAGTTTCACGTCTTCTCTACGATTTAGAGGTTGATAAGTTTAGGCGAACCTATACACTATCTAGGGATAAACTTCTAAAACTTATTCTTAATTTTGTTTATTTGTGGTTTACATACATATTGTTTAACTACCTAATTGTGGTAAAAAAGGGAAACTCGTCGCACAAATCGCATATACATACGGCGCTATACAAAATATCGTCGTACCGTTGTACCTACCTACATACAAGTCGTACCTACCTAAAAACCCTACGGAATTACCGTTTTCCAAGCTTTTCTTTTTCAGCACAGCCAGCAGCAGAGCAGCCGAGCCACTTACCTAGTTCACTGCCCCCACACTGCCCACTGCATAAGTGTAGGTGCCTCATAGCCGAAAGACCCAATTACGCGGGACCTTCCTGTCGTATTAGAGTTCTGAACGTTCTGGGCCCTGCAGCCATTGCCTTATCGGCCCTTATCGATAGAAGTAGCGGCCTCCCGAACGATCGAAAATCCGGTTTAGATAACCGTAGAACTACCCTTGACGTTCCCCAGCGTTCGTGGGTTCGTGACGTAAGCGGCATCGCGATTCCGGTTGTACCCCCTGTCGTCGCTCTCCATATCTAGATCCGAATCCCCATCATGTGGTTCTACACTTCAACAGGTTAGCTTTTCCTCCACACTCTCTACAAATACCAATTCAACATAAACCTCCTGTTTATTTATTCATTTGGTTGCGAGGATAATCCTCTACATACCACTTGTCTCTATCCTACCCAATAGTATACTATCAATCATCAATTGTCAATTATCGTATACATCAATAAGTCTAACATCATGGCTACCTACTACGCAGCTCCCCGCGAAAAGCGTTATCACAAATATAAGAAGGTTCTTTACTTAGAACCTCCCACCAACGGTAGCAAGACCGTTCGCACCCGCGTTACCACAATCGTCCCTCCCCCTGAGCCCGAACCCGAGTTTGTGCACTGTCCATCACCCGCCCCAGCGCTCCCAGAGCCCAGGTATACGCCGCCACCACCGGTAGTCGTCGAACCTCTACCGCCGCCACCTCCTCCGCCCGCATCTGTACACTACTCTCCTCCGCCCGCATCTGTACACTACTCTCCTCCACCCGCATCTGTACACTACTATCCTCAGCCCGAGCCCGAGCCCGAGCCTGTACGTGAACCGTCACCGGACGTCGGGATTGAGGTCATCGCGGTAGACGTAGACCCAGACCAGTCCAGCAGATCCGGCAGGTCCAGGTCTTCGAGGAGCTCCAAGAGCTCGTCGCGAAGCTCCAAGTCGTCGTCGCGCAGCAGCACCAGCGGCCACAGCAGACATGGTCGAGAGCGCGAGGTCTACATCGAACGGGAACGCATGGTGCCCGTCCGCGTACCCGTGCCTTATCACGTACACCACGTCGAGTACGAGCAGCCCCAGCAAGACTCGTTCCGTTACATAGAAGCTCCCAGGCGGTATGAGCCCCCGCGACGACGGAGTCCAGATCACGAGATCGTCATCGAAGATCATCGTCACCGGAAATACATCCGCGACGGCTGAACGCAACACCCCCTGTGGATCTAGCCTGTATTATAATATATATTACGACACATGTTTTATTTACCCCATCATGAGATATGGACTGGAGTTTGGATTTAACGTTTTAAGATTGTCACGAGACTACGAGTACGAATCCGTACGGAAGAAGTCATGATTTAAGTCTGGGAATTTTTTATATAACTACTTGGAACTTGGAGCCTCAGAGAGAGAGAGAGAGAGAGAGAGAGAGAGAGAGAGAGGTGGGGAACTTGGAGTTTGAAAGTACGTTTTGAGTTCGCCTGTACACATTTACGGGGACATACCGACTGCCGGCCAGGCTATTTCCTATACTAATACTTTATAATGTACATGCCGGAGCAGCAGTACTGCCCGGACTGTTTAATGTTAGGCGGTAGTGGTACTACCCCATACAATTAGGACTGAGACTTAGAGTTTACAGTCTTCAATGTTCCACGTTAATATGAAATATTAACTATTCAAATAATACCTCGAGCTTTGATACACTTACGTGGTGCCTAGCAAGATAGTATATTAGTCCCTTGCGGACCAACGAAGCTGTTCCCACCCCCTCTAGGTCCACCTCGCGATACAAGGTAAAAATTCCCACTTGCCCACCTAGGTATACTACATATCAAGTCTCCAGCAAGTCGTTCACCGCCATATTCCCTATTCCCTATTCCCACCTTGGTCGGCCGGTCGGGCTGGGCATTTTGAGTTGTACAAGAGGCAAGCTGCTGCGTTGTACAAAGAAAAATCAATAAAGGCCCCCGCGCTGCCGTGGAAATTTCCGACGGCACGCAACAGGAGGATCGCAATTGGCACAGATGTTGTAGCCGCCAATTGCGGAGACTTGTTGGAAAAGTGTCAAATCTGTATTTGGTATTTTGTATCTCGTATCTTGTAATAGATCATTTTCAGGGGTAATGCATCGGTACCCGATTCGAATTCAAGATCCCTGGGTAGACTAGACATCCCAGCAACAGGTATCCCGAAAACCCTCATGGTCGATGGGCTCTACAAGCACCCTTCGTCTACCTAAGGCATCTACACAGGTCATGAAATTGCATTTCCAGTGAACCTCTTGCATTACTTACTTACTTACTTACTAGTCATGCTTTAGTTCTTGAAATGCGTGATGGGATGACAACGGTATAAAGGGTGACTACATACCTTAGGTACCTAGGTTAGGTACATAACGTACGTAGCAAGGCTAAATCGTGATTGATTGTTCATTGCATGTGTTTGTTGAATTTATGCAATGGTCAGTCAGCCTGATTGCACTGGCGTTTACCAATAATACCTAAATAAGGGGATGATACATAGGCTGATTACATAAGCGTGAAATAGGGGTAACGTTCAGCAGTCTACCCGTCTAGGTAGGTAGTCATCTGGCTTGTTTAACACAATCATACACACATGTCTGCAACTATCCGCCAATAGACGTGGCCATTCCATTATCAAATCTATCATAGTGTTGATCTACGTAAGTAAGTAAAGTACATATAACCCACCGTTTTCGCAAAAGTCATGGATAAAGACGACATGTAACTATTCATACTATCTGACTTGTACACTTATAATAGGATATATATATATAACCAATATCATGATGCACATTTAGCACTTCTTTTATCTTCAAATTCCAGATCATTAGCAATACACATCATCCAATATCACCCACTCATTGGATGCTATTCCCAATGAATGTTTCTGTAGATTCGTCAGGCTATTTTTGCACGTCCTTGGAGGAGGTATTTATTCATGCCTTCGTCCTTCTAATCTACAAGATTCTTTCCTACATATTTCTACTGTTCATGGCTTTTCAAATCTGCCTATTCAACCTTTGGACACCACCACCAATTCCATTTTCGCAGACCTATTTCAGAACTTACCTTCCATATCTAAGGCATTTCTTCCAGCGTTTCTTAAAGGACTTCGTCTCAGAAAAGTCCAAAAAGAAAGAGAGTGGGATCTGGATTACTCCGTGGCACGAACATCGTACGAGAAAATGTCTTGTCTTTACTGACATGAACAGGGGATCTCGATTATCTAGGTATGGTTCTATATCACATGACAGAATATTTTCCAACAGGCTAACTATCAACAGGCTAACTAACACCACGACATCAAGCACGTCATCTTCCGATTGACTGGCATATTAGTCTAAGACAACAACAGAAGGACGCTGTTGAACATAGCCACTATGTACTGGGACGCACACCATCACAGTTCCTCATTATCGATCATGACAGGAAATACTCTTGTTAATAACGGTACCAATCTCAACCTAATGAACAGAAACAAGAAATAATAGTAGTAACCAGGGCATTGTTCCCCTCGCATCCCCCCTATCCCTTAGGCGCCTCATGAACTCCCGTCATAGGCTCATCCATTCATCAATGGGTATCATATCATAAGCCGTTAACCCTGAACCACCAACTCCTGAACAAAAGAAAATAACAATGATACAAGAAAGAATAACTAGAATAGCGCCAACTCCCCGAAATATCCGAAAAGAAACCTGTCAAATCACCGGCAGTGGCGGGACCGGGAAGTTTTTATGCCTGGCCAGCATCATCCAAGAAATCATCAAGTACCTGGAAATCAAATATAGGCATGTCTCCAGCATCGGCTATCTCGCCATTGACCTGGCCCCCTGGCCTGGCTTGGCACTGAGAAGTGTTCACCGGGGACAGGTCGGAGGTTGCTGGATTGGTGTCAGCTCCCTCTCCCTCTTGGCCTTGATCTAGCTCTCCGCCTCGAGGGGCTTCTTGAATCTCAAGGCCTCTCTGGGAAGACGGAGTAGCCTGAGCCTGTTCCGAGGCGGCCTCACCCTGGGCTTGGATGGGTGTGTTAGAGCGGCGCTGCGTAAAGTTCTGTGCAGAGTCCTGCATGAACATGGAGCCTTGGAGTTGACTCTGTACTTGGCCAGAGTATGGAGGTAGAACCTGAGCGAGGTTCTGTCCAGGTATCTGTTCTGCCGGGAACCCCTGTGTGCCCTGGCCGCCCTCCAAGATTTGCATCTCCAGAAGGTTGATTCTCTCCTGGAGAGCCGCATTTTCGCTGGCAAACATGGCGATCGTTTGGCCGCGGCTGTCGATTTCATCCTGCTGGATGTTGACTCTCGTGGCAAGTTCCTGGACCTGCTGGGCTAGCGCCGCATTTTGCTCTTGGAGCTTCTGCACATTACTTCTAGCAGTTTGCAGCGCATCCTCCTTCTTCTGGCGGCTCTTACGAGCCGAGACTCTGTTCTGGTCTCTGATATGATCGGCCTTGCATCTCGAGATCAACTCGTTCCTGATGCGTGTCGCCTCCTTTCTTTCCTCGGACCATGAGTCAAGGATCTTTATCTGCCTCATACCAGGTCTCCATTGCAGGTTGGAAGAATCCGAAATTGACAGGTCGCCCTCTCCGTCTTTGTTGGCCCGTGTCTGCTTCTTCCTTCCCTGTCTCTTCGTGACTCTGTGAGCAGAGTCCCGCTCCGGACCGGACGCAGCAGAATCGGCGCCACTTCCGGAGGAAGAGTTGGCCAAGCCTGGTCGGCGCTCAACCGTAGGCGGTCTTGAATTTAGGGGACGGCTGGCCGCGGGCATTGGGCCAGATCCGGGAGTGGGCGCCAGAGCAGACATTGGGGCCTGACCAATGTGATATTGGTGGGGCATACCTTGGCTTTGGGGGCCCAGTGGCATACCAGGGGTGTTCTGGTCTTTGAAAAGAATTAGCAAATTTATACATTTCATTACTCTTCATTGTTACTTACTGGTCACATGAGAGCCATAGGCTAAGGCCAAGTTCATGTTGCCTGCCCAGCCTTGGTAGCCCTGGCCCATAGGGGCAGCGGCCATTGACCCGAACATGGCCGGGGAGAGAGGTGAGATAGGCGACATTGATGGCTGAGGGGTAGGGGGCAGATGGGGCACGGATGTCATAAGGCCCATTGACGACATAGGACTCGCCGACGCCATTCCCGAAGCCATTCCTCCAGGAGTTGTCATAGCAGACGTGCTGCTGACATTGTTGTATGCCATGCCGCTTGTCTGGCCAATTGACAAGTGGTCGGAAACGCCGCCGTACTGGGCATACATGTCGTTGGGTCCCGGAGTAGGAACACGGGGATTGAAATCAGGGTTGCTATATTATGTTAGCTCTTGTGTCTATCAAGGATGTTATTGAGGTACTATAACTAACCTCTGTCCCTGCCAGGTAAAGCTGTCTTGACTCATCTTGTCGTTGGGGCTTTTCAACGTCGTCTCTGAAGATAGGTAAAGGGTAATGGCGAATTAAAGAGGGATGCTGGAAGTTATGATGTAATGTTAGATGTGTAATGGTGGATGTGTAGGGGGGAAAGGGCAAGACTTTACATGAATTTATGTAGACTAGTAGGTAGGCCCTAGACAGAAAGAGTCAGCAACTGGTCGCGAAAATATTGTAATATTGTATCATGAGTCTTCATTGTCACTCAAGCCTAGTCACTGTTGAACAATAGTTTGGATGAAGATATCATACCTAACAGACTCTGATGCTACGCAATGTAGACTCAATTGAAGTAAGACAAGGTAGTCTCGTGACAACGAGTATCCTATTCAAGGTTAAAGGTTAGAGACCATCTGATGTATGTAACAAACAATTCAAGACGCGACTTGACTAAGGAAAGTTGTGGTAGGAGGTAGGAAAGTAGTATTGAGTAGGTGGAAGAGACTTACTAGAGGTAGGATTGATCCTTTGGATTAATCCTGTTGGAATAACAGTATGACCCGCGACTGGTGAAGGTCGTATCGGTCAAAGTGTGTAGTAATGGGTGAAGGGTAAAGTGTAAAGGGTGACTAGAGGGTAAGGTGTTATGTTATTCTTGTTCTGGCTGTAGTGATAGCAGAAGAAGAGTTGTGTGAAGAAAGGAAAGGTTGAAGGTGATTGGTTAGGATTGGCCGGGGGCTCTATTCTTTTATAATTATTTTAGAGAGGCTGTTTATCGCCATTGGAAGTTAGGGAAGTTGGGAAACATAGGTACGAAACAGGTACGAAACATAGGTACAGACCTAAATTCAAGTGGAAAGACCGTCCGTCACTTCCTCTAGCGCTTCGGTTGCTATACGACGGACCGCTAAAGAAAGCTCTACAGTCATGCACAGACGTAATTTGCTAGTCTTATCAGTTTGTTCCTTCCTCCGGAGGGCGACGAACCTGTGAATGGGGCCATTTGTTAGCCCCCCCTTTTTCGGTGAATCAGTAGCAATCACAATTAGCAGCTGTCATTCCACTCACCTACAGTCACCTACAGTTACCTACAGTTATCTACAGACATTTACAGACTGACACTCACAGTCTGATACAGTCACTTACTTTCCAACAATGACTTAAAGAGGCAAGCACACCTGGTCATGCACAGACTGTTACTAGGTACCACAGATAGAAAACTTCAACCTCAGATGATAATTATGGGGCAATACATTTTTTTGGGGAGCATCCTAAGAATCGCTGTGGCAATTGCGATAAGAAACACCAAGTGACAGACTCGTTCTTGAAACAAACTGCCCTAGTTATTAATCGAGACGCGTTGGGTGACCCTTCCCCCATAACCGCGTACATACAAGTGACGTTGTTAGTAAACAACAACCTTAGGTAAGCTTCGAAAGAGCCTCATGTACATAGGTACGTAATTATTCCTAAACCACGAAACTAATGCTGTGGTGGGTAAGTGTTGATATTCTGTATTTCGAAATATTGTTTGTTTACTGGCGATAACATAACTCAAGCATCAGCTAATATTTTCCCCTCTACACTCCGAGGCTTCTATCCTTCCTACGTCCTATCCTACTATGTCCCTAATTCTCTCCGCCAAAATACATCTACAAGAGTAAAAGGCACCGATCAAAGTACACCAAACACTGCCGCTTTCTAAAGCATGCCCGAGACCAATTCAAGGTAACAGGAACCGAAATAACACAAACAGCTGAGAATATATTACAGACGCTAGTTGTGTTATGTCGAGTATCAAAGATCAACTACTGCCGAAGATGTTGGAACAAACAAGTTGCGAAATTACAATTTGCCCCGTTGCCTACAAACCTAACCTGAACATATACTAAATATCCCAGAATACGGAGTAAGGTTCAAAGATCTACATATAAACCTCTATCATATAACTCAAGCAGTTAAATGCCACAAAAGGCGGATACTATTTGGTTACTCTTGGATGAGTATGGGAGACGATATAGTGTATAGTGGTGTTCAGCTGATATTGTCCTAGATAGAATCCGAAGTGTTCAGAGTGGCTAGCTTATGCAGAAGATTTTGTAAGGCCAGACCCCTTAACCAGCTATTTTCGCCCCGGCACTATTCTCGTTCCGCTTCCCTTGAGCACCTAATCTGTTGTTTCCTCGGTCGACACATCTTCTGTCGAGCCGTCTCTACGCCACGGAGCTATATAAATCGTTTCGCGAATGGGGAGCTCGGCAATTTCAATCTCAGGGTCTGTGTAATAGTCATAGTCGCAATCATCTACCGGTTCTCCGCAATTATGGCAGGGTCGTGCTCTGCAGTAACAACTTCAAAAGCAGGAATATTAGTTATTTGCTAACCTAGTAATATGGAATGGCACAAAGGGAGTTAAGATGGGAATGTAAGCTTACGTTACAGTGCAGTCGTCGCTATCGTAGTCTTCTAGAATTGTATTGCATTTGCAGAAGCTCTTTCGGCCTTGTTTCTTAGCTGGCTCTTGTAGGCTATCATCCAGGGAGGATTTTGACTCGTTGCCATCCTTCATACACTTGTTGCAAAAGGGCAACCCAGCTTCATAGGTGGGAACGGAACTGCCGAAGGTATTGTGATTCTCGGAGATAGCGACGGCAGCATTGTTGTTGATATGGCCAGAACTGTGAGGGTTATTTGTTTCTGCGCGTTTTGCAATAAGCTCTATAGAGAGATCTTCGCCAATTACGGAGGCCATCTGCGATACGAAGGCGATAATTGTGTTGCAGCAGCGCGGGGCGAATTCTTTGCCATTAAAATACGAAATGTACATGCATCGTAAGCATTCCACGCAGTAGATGTGGGAACAAGATGCCTCATATATGAAGCTGGGAGGGTGGGAGTCAAGGCAGGCGTCGCACAACACCACGTTGTCGATGCACGAAAAGGTTGATTGACTCATCTTGAAGGTCGTAGACGTCAAAGATTGCATGAATGATAGAGGAGGGCCGATGTTAGGATAGATTAAAAGTCAACCGTGCTTAAGTAGGGGGTATTGGAACGTGGTTGAAATAAGTCAAGTTGGTAGAATGGCATTTGGGAAGATATAGGAAGATGGTCAAGTTCTGAAAGGCGTTACTAAGTGGGAAGGCAAGGAAAATATTTTGCCAGCTGGTTTATATCCAACTCACGAGGGAGTGGACAGATCAATTAGCGTGATTTTTATGATAATCCTGGGAGAGCAAAACTCGTGATTAAGTTGATAAAGACTCATGCTGTTGCAAGGACACAACTTGGCTTACGCACCTGTATACATCTACTATGATGAAGGTCTGGGACGTGGGACAGCTTTATTAGTTGTACATACATATTTTGAAAACCTACAAGCTCTGGTTCGCGAGAAGAATATTTGATTGCTACAGATTCATACCCCTTATGCCATTAACAATACAAAGTATAATTACAGGGAGTTGAAGCGCGGTATTAGATTCTTAAGAAAACCAGCATCATTTCCACGATATTACTATAGCACGTAGGTAAAGTATGGCGAGCGTGACACAATAACACTAAGCCCGCAGGCCCAAGGGTCCAATTCGAATAGTGTACAGGTCTGACCTATGCGTCCAAGTGTCGAGCTGAAATAGTCTAAATGCCTAGCCTCCCGTCGTCTCAGGACGTATATAAGAAAAAACAAGGCCTGGAAGTTTTATTTTCATCGTCTGAATACCAATTTTAAATACTATTACCTAAAATTACCACAGTACAATTGGATAAACCAAAGGAAGGGACATAGCAAGAGGGGAGAGAGTACAGAGATATTCTTTTGTTTAAGACAAATGAAACTAGAGGATTAGCCAGTAGGTTTAGACAGTACTATAATAATAGAAATGTTACCACGGCAGGTATTCTTCCCAGGTCTCGTCGTCTAGCTGGCCATGTATGTAAACCACCAAGTCAATTTTCACGAATAAAATCGAAACTAACCTACCCTCGTAGGACATCTGCCTAACAACTCGGCATTAAGCTTAGAATACAGAAGGTCCTTAATTCGACCTTGGACGAGACTATTATTTTTACATTTTCTCTGATTCAAGTTTTACCTAATAGGTACAGTACTACTTAGCTATAGCAATGACGCAAGACCTCAGGAGGATTCAAGTGGATGGGGTAGATAGGTTTTTCCAAGTTAATGGGAGGGGGCTTCGAAAGTGTACGTAAAAAACAGCTGCTAAAAAAAGAAAAAGAAAAAAAGAAAAAAAGAAAAAAAGAAAAAAAGAAAAAAAGAAAAAAAGAAAAAAAGAAAAAAAAAATAAAAAAGCTCAGCCCCAGGTTCGAATCCCCTCGGATAGGGGCAGGGGATTCGAACCCAGGACCTACGAAAAACCGGCTTCGTTTGGTATCTGCTGTCAAGTCACGTTCTTTTTTTGGGAAGAACGGTCCAGCATAAGACACCACAGTGGGGTTTTCTCTGGCCTCAAGTCGCCCGGGCGGGGGGCGTCGGTTAATGGTTTGTTTGTAATTAGGATATATAACCTTTACTTTGTGGGTAGGTACTTTGGCAGCTGTACCTCGTTGCCTAAGAGACTGATCAGTTGGTGACTGACAGGCTGGCGGTGCTGTATGTCAGGCAACGGGTTTCTAGCAAGTGATAGAGAACAGGATATTAAGAGAATTAGAAATTTGCAAAATCAACATATCAAGACATGCCATAAGTTTCATAAATAAGTCATTTCCTTAGGAACCGCACTTCTATACACGGACTTAACTCCAAGAGTTTTGGTTGATATCACTTGGCTTAGCCTGATATTTGCTAATATATACCTTAGGTACCTAATTAACTCAAGTTAACAAGCCATCTTCGTATAGAAACTATAGCCTACAAAGATGAAGCGTATTGCTGCGGAATAATAGTCAACCCAATTCCCCCCATAAAGACACACTGATTCCAGAAACTACGAATAATCTATTGCGGCAAGTTTTTTTAAATACATAATTCAAGTCTCGACTATTTCTTTAGATCAACGTCAGCTACAGTTGCTCCGGGGCTAGGGAAAGCTTACGCTCAACTTACCCCTGTCAAAGGCGGTTGGCCTATGGGGTTGGTTGGATGCCGCGTGGGAAGCATGTATGCACGGATGAGACGAGACTAGATCCAGATCTAGGGATGAGCACCTAGGGCTACCGGCTACCATGGACGTGGAACGATCCATCGGCGCAATGCCTGCATGTATCCACATCAGTCGCTAAGTTAGATGTGACCCATCAAGTGCCGGCGTGATGCTTTCACATGTCATGCGTATGCTCCAGAAGGCTTACATGGAGTTCTGCACATACCCTGCCTGTATGCGCGTCATCTCTGGCCCCGGTGAATCTAACTTGATGAATTGTAATATTATTTTTTTGCCCGGGCTATATTTACCCGAGATATAATTCATAGAACTTTCGATATTTCTACCTTTTGTGTCGCCTCCCGAACTGCGTTCCTAATTCCGCAGCACTCCCTCCGAAGTTTTCTACAGAGAATATACACTGTGAACCAAAGAACATGTCCCAATACGCGAACACCATGCCGCACCAGTCATTACAGAAAACAAACCCGATAGAAGAATAGGTCTAAAAGGTCGCAACGGCAATGGCTATGGATTGCGCTTCCGAGTGCGAGATGGAGACACTGATCTCCTTGACACCTGCCTTCTTGGCAGCATCTTGGGCATCGCCGTGAAGCTATAAACAATTAGCGAACTGGTAGTTATGGAGACCATGCGCGATGTACTTACGGTAACGATAGGAGCACCGGTCTCGTTAGGCAGGATCTCGATATCTTTCAGAGGGGCCCCTGCGCCCCTACTTTGGACGCCTAGGCTCTTGAAAACTGCCTCCTTAGCGCTCCAGCGCCCGGCAAAGGAGCTCTGCGGACTAGGCGTCTTTTGGCAGTACGCAATCTCCCTGTCCGTGAAGTTACGCTCGATAAAATTGGGGTTTTCGATATTAACAGCCGCGATGTCTTCTACATCAACACCGACCTTGTTGTTTTTTCCTGTCTGAAGACTCTGGGCTAGGCTTTCCACCATCTCCTTTGTGCTCCTCGCCTTCATAATATGGGGCTTAGCAGCGCGCTGGGCAAAGTCGGCAGGATAGATAAGCTCCGCAGTCTTGCCGTTCTCCGAGACTCTGGCATCGGGATTTAGGAGGACAGAGGAGAGCTGCTCCTCGGTGTACGGTGCGTGGTCCTTGGCTTGGAAGATGGCATTGTTGACGATACCGTTGTGCATGTAGCGGTAGGCTTTCTTTTGACGGGCAATTACCTTCGCAGAATACTCCGCATATGTTTCCTTGTCTAGGGCCGCATACAGGTACCTTGGATGAACACCGATCGCCTGTGCACCCTTCTGACCAAAGCCGAACGAAGTGAGCGAGAAGGCCTTTACACCATCGGTCTGAAGGCTTCGACTGGGGTAAACGATTAGGTCGAACTTCTCCATGTCCTTATCAACATTGTCGGCGTTACGATTGCCAGGAACTAAACCGCTGTTGAGAACCTGCAAGCAACCATTGAACATCCAGGCTCCAGCAGGACCCTTGGGATGACCAGTAAGGTACTTCTGGAAAATACCTAGGACAGCATTGCCCTTCTTTCGACCGAGGTGGCGCAATTGTTGGCAGATAACTGATGACTCGTTCTTGTCATTGGCTTTGGTTGATGTACCGTGGAAGGATGCCACATCCAGATCATCTATCGTCAGACCCCAAGTAGCAAGAGCGCCACGCAGAGGGGCGATTGTAGGATCTTGCTTCCAGAAATTATTTCCGAGGCTTCGCAAAGCTTCCTTCTCTTGTCTCTCTGCTTCTTTCTCAATATGGACGGCACGCGCCTGGGTATACTCCTTCTCGTCGAATTCGTGACCTTGGGCCCGCATAGCTGCTGCCTCTTCATATAAGTATTCTAGCTCGGACTCTTTCCAATTGCGAACCTGCCTCTTGCGAAGCTCAATCTGCCGACGGCGGTACTTCAAATCTAATAGAGGCGACGGGAACTTGCTGGGGGCCTCCCGAGCAGTGGTCAATAAACCTTGTCCAGGGGCTGGAACAGAACGTCCTATCTTGTCGCTTGCAGTAGTGGTAAGAGCAAGGATACCATAGATCGGTACACCCATATCAAGTGCTAATTTGGCTGTCATGATGATTTGGATACCGCAGCCCTGGGATTCCATAAACCCACTTCTGGTAGTGGTGGTCGGGCGCGACATTTCCTGCGGTGTGCGCCCGTGGGCAAACTCCTCAAGGCTGTTGCTCGTCGCCTTCATATTGGCAAACTCATACGAACCCTCTTCGCCAAAGTCGTCAAAACCACCAACCAAGCAGATGCGTGCTTTGCCCTCCATGATGGCTTCGTAACCAACATCAACTGATTCGACTGCTGTAGCGCAAGCGCCAACAGGGGTCTTGATAGGGCCGGAGGAAGATAATAGAAGCATGTTGACCCAAGCAGCCATCGTGTTGATGAATGACTCTTGTAAAATATCCTTCTGGATGTCATGGTCCATCTTGCGCTTGGTATATATCCCATTAAGAGCGTTTATACCACCTTGACCTGAACCAACGCAGTTGCCGACCTCCGATACGTGGACATACTTGTAAAACTCGTACGGGTCAGTAATACCTGAAGCGAGGAGCGCCTCGGCAACAGAGACGAGCACAAATAATGTCACACGATCGACTTGAGAGATAATATCGTCGGGCACGCCATATTTCTTGGCATCCCAACCTGTGGGAATCTGTCCGGCAACAAGGCGGTCGAATTTAAGAGCCTTCGGAATCCAGAGGGTAGCACCCTTCCTGAGGCGAATAGTGTATTCGCCGGTCTCCGGAATCTCAAAAATCTCGCACTTTTCGCCATGTTGCCTCTTGAATTCCTCAGCTGTCTCCTTAGATCCCTCAAACGGTTCTAGATCTTCTTCGAGCTGGATTTCGTGCAACATCATCTTCTTATTGGGATCATACCC